ATTTCAATTATTGTTGTTACTGTTGCTATCATCGTCGTCATCATCATGACCGAGTAAAAAGATACGCTTGGCTTCAAATTCCAGCTTACTAAAAATCGTGTATATTGTGACATGTTGTGCAACGGAGAACCCCTCCCTACACAGCAGCAACGTGGCAACTCGTATACCGGTAGATATCTCGTCTCCACTTTGGTTAGCCCATTGGTTTCAGATTACGGATCTCAGATATTGTTTTACTGACCTAGTATACTATAATATAATATGTGGACATTTTATAGTTGCCTGTTTTGAATAGAAAAAAGGTAAAGTTGTCCCTATGCTTTACTAATTAAGCACTACGCCATGAAGGCGTGTGGGGACTGGATGTATAGATCCATATTTTCTTCACCTCGGCACTAGTTGGAGGTGAGTGGTCAGCTTAACTCCCCGGCCGCTCTACCCCCGGGGAACGAGCCCTCGGTGTCCATTAGATAGGAGGCTGGGTGAGCCTCAGAGATGGTCTGGATTACGTGGAGAAGAGAAAATTCTTGACCCTACCGGGACTCGAACTCCGATCTCTTGGTCATCCAGCCGGCAGCCAGTCGCTATACTGTCTACGTTATTCCGGTTCCATTTTGAATAGAAATAATTTTAAATTTTTTTGTGAACTAATTTACAACTCGTCATAAAAAGTAAATACATTTCACGTATCTCGCATACACAAAGCTTGGCCACGCTCAACTGCCCCCTTCCCTGCATCTAAAAATCGGATCAAGTATGTCGAAACTCCGTCACAGTGCATAACAGCATGCGGCACATGCACACTACGTAGTCCAACAACTGAACTTCCTGAAATATAAAATTCATTTCAGTAGTACCAATTCATGTGCTTCATTTTGATAAATTTCCTTGCCAACACCAAGTCACCATTTTCCTCTGCAGAACTCTTCTTTTGTGAGATTTGAGGTTCTCACAGCGGTGACTTCTGGGATGTGACGCCTTGCAGCCTGGTAAAGTTTTCCGACGTACTTGAGGAATGTATTGCTTCCAAATTCAGGGTCGAAAATTAAACTGAGGAAGTAAACAGTCAAGTAGCAAGCAAGCAACTGACGCTTTGCTTGTTTGGCTTACACTTTGACCCGAAGGACTGAAGCGTCGGTTAACCTCTACCATATGGCCCCTCATTCCAAAATCACATCATTCTGTGATGCTGCTCCCGTTATTAACACAGCGCTTCGAATTTCATTCATCCATTCATCGGTGGTTCTGCAACCCTTTGTTAGGCCTTGGCCTCTTCATCGGTATCGTAACCTTTTTTACAAAGACGATATGACTCCTTGAACGTGTGGTCAGCCCGTCTCAAGGCTACTACCAGCACACAGTACAACACAAACACAGAATGAACACACACATATATCCATGCCTTGGATGGGATGCGAACCCGCGATCCCAGTGTTTGTGCTGGCGAAGACAGTTCATACCTTAGACCGCGCGGCTACTGTGATCGACGTTTCGGATTTCAGTACCTGTGAGATACGGTGAATTGCATTCTATACCCTCAAGAATTCCAAACTCCAAAGTTTAACATATTTTAGCAAATAAGCTACGAATTCAAAAAGAATTTTAACAAACTAACTATAAATATTTTAAAGTATTGGAACATCCGCTGTAGCTGTAAAGGCTTTAGATTTTACAGCCAATTGTATATTATTTATATTGTATATATATATTTTAACTTTTAGAACATGTGCTGTAATAGTGGCTTCTAACTGTATTGATTTAAAGGTGTCCCTCTGAAGATGGTCTCTGAAGACCGAAACATGTAAGGGCATGAATAATTGAAATAAGAAAATCTTAACCAGTCACATTGAACGGAACTATTTAGCTTTTTTCTTAATATTAGTATGACGGACCAGAATGAAAAAGATCAAATTCAGCTTTTTCAAGCTACTTCCCATCAATTTATAAGTCAGGATGAAACGTAACTTACTTGTTGAAGTTCGTTAAACTTATAGAAGTGGTTTGTAATTACTGTGGTACAGAATGCATACAGCACAGTATAAAATGCAACGTCTTCTCAGTCGTGACATGAAGTGGCGGTTCCCGTTGGTCACGGTCATCACTTCACTAACAGATCTCTCTGAACCCTGGCGACCTCGCTGCGTTCCTAATTCAATCACTTTGATTGTTTTAAATTTCGAGAATCAAGTTCCTACCCGTTGGCACTTGTGACCTCTGTCAAGAAGATATGCAGTTGCTGAATATTATTAGGTAACTTGGAACAGAAACCGACATCAAGCTCAATTGAGAGGTTCATATGAATAGAAGTGTCTTAATAGGTTCTGGTATAGACCGGGCTCAGTGTCTAGAAGAACAGTGGCCGCGGCATAGCTCAAGCGGTTAGTCGCTGGCTTCCCACCGCGTCTGCCCCTGGTTCGAGCCCGGGTGTTGTCAAGTGAGATTTTTAGTGGACAAAGTGGCGCTGGGGCAGGTCTTCTCCGAGTACTTCGGTTTCCCCTGCCTATCTTCATTCCACCAATTGCTCCACAATCACCCTCACCTATCATCTGGGGCTGGTACAATAGGCCAGAAGTGGCCGCAGTACAAGGGACTTGGTCCCGCCCCACTAGCAATAAAGAAAAATAATGGGAGGCTTATGAGATCACCATCCTCTCTGTGTGTCTGTGCCCCCCCCCCTCAGTGTTTCATTTTCTATGCGGCCCCTTGTCGTATGAAAGGAAACGAGATTCTTCCCACAACTTCTTGTTTTATAACTCTTCTTTAAAATGTTCAATATTTAGTGTTTGTTATCAAAATCTTTCAGATATATGGGCTGTAGAATAAATGAAAGTGAAGGAAACTCACAGATAACACTCTTATAATAGGAGCGCGCTATACGGAATTTTGTGAAAAACCGTCAAATGAATCAGCACGGTACTCTACGTAAAAGTTCAGCTGAACCTTATGCTACGTATGTATAGTAGCTCTTACAATGAACTGCAATGAATGGACGCTATACTCCTATAAGAGAAGTGAAATATATAAAGAATTTCATTAACTTTTCTTCAACTGGTCCTTCAAACCAATGGAACTTAAATTCTAATGCTCGAACCTGTGTAAGTTTGTATTTCATCATAATCTGTGAAAGAACTAAGAAAATACATGTAAAGCTTAAATTAGACCCTTGAGTAAACTGTCCTTTAAGATGGGTTAAGTTACTGAAACTACATTATGTAGTAGGGCCTGCTTGTATTGCGTAAATGCCGTATAAATTCTAAACCACGGGTTAGCGAAATCTACTAAAAAATTCGGATGATACTCGTAAGAGTTCATATGTGCCCTTAACCCTTTTCAGTCATTTAAATAACACTGAAATATTCAGTTCCTCTTTCACAGAAAGTACACTGCTTCTCCATTACAAAGACCAGCCAGTTGATGTTGTTCAGTGTAATCGTCGCTGTGTATTGTGAGAACTGATACACAAATATACAGAAAGTGCACAAAATGCAGGGATTTTAATGTTAAAGCGGGCGTTACGTGTAATAATCACGTTGCTTTAAATGATTAAACATGACCCAAGCAAAACTAAATTCCAATTATTTCAACAAAATTTAATGCGCCATCAATGTACCGAGACTGTTAACATGGCAAGGAATTAAATTAATTATGATTTTAATAAAATCAGTTAAAGAAATATATGAGTGACTATAGACGGGGTTTGGATTGGTGTCTCTATTTATTGACCACACGCCTCGTAACTTCAAGTAACTATAACATTCTCATTGGTTTACACACATTACAGATCACTGTAACTGCAGCACACATGTCTTCACGAGTCGTTTCCTGGTAACGGATCTGACAGTGTCCTCTGCTTACGTATTTACCGCTTGTAGAATATCCCAAAACACAACTGAGCTCAGAGTCAGAGTCAGAGTTACTTTATGACTTGCGGTTTTCCACCGATCAGTTCGTCTTGGCCCCAAGCCCCTTGAGACTCACGACCAGCATCTTTTTCGACTGAATACTTGCTCTCATAGTCCTTATATAACTTCTCTGACGGGAGGTTGAGTCTGTCGTTTACAATTGCTTCTGGCCCTCGACAGCGCGGTCATTCTCTGGTCTTAGTCCCGCGGGACTCACAACCACATTTTACTGTCTCAGATTCGAGACTCCCTCAACCTGGAGGAACAGGTCCTCATAGTTATATCCCCCAGGAAGTGTGGCCCGGTTATACCCCCAGGCACTGGGTTCCCTTTTCGTCGCCTCCTACGACTCGCAGGGATACGGCGGAAATATTTAAACCCGCCTCCACTAAGCTTTGAACTTTTTCCCGCTTGTAACCCCTCTATACGGACAGCGTAGAAAACAGCGCTCATTTTTTCCCATTATTGCGTGCACAGCCATCGGCACGGACCCCGCAGAAAACTTCACTTTCCAGCCAGTCCATTGGTACGCTGGCCGCTACCTAACAACAGCTCTTTCTCCTTTATTTCGCGGCCGTTGCCTAGGAGCGGGTCTGTACACCACAATATCAATGATTAAATGAATTTTATTCACTACTGCATGTTTCGGTTTCATAGATAACCACCAGGTGGTTTGTAAATAATTGAATAAATGAAACATATTGAACTGCAGGGTATCATGTCTGAAAAGTAAATATTTTATTATAAGGCTTGAGTCCTGGACGTATTGTAGAGCGGAAGTTTTGTCGTAGTAGTTTCTTGAAGAAATTTTGTTGTCGGTGCGGATTGCTGTGTATTGATATTCTCAATATTCTAGTTGTACTGTGGAGTTCCTGTAATTAAATATAATATATTGAATTAAATTAATGCGAATAAATAAATAAATAAAACGCAATGCATCTTATTGAAATCGGTCCAGTAAGCCTGTTGACTGCACAGATTCGCGGATGGTCATAACGAAACTCTCTCTCTTTAGAGTACGCCTGTACATTCCATTGTTACTGAACTGTTGGAGAGTTTCCTTAAACATGTTAAATAAATCAGCACCTCTTGTTTCAGGGGCGCCTCTTCAAAAGTATACAAATGCCTACACAAAGGAAAGACAGAATGGGCCTGCAAGGTGCTCGAAAAGGTAAGCATTTTTCAAAGAATATGATATCTGATTGAAAGTGACACCTTATAGTCTGGTAAAAGTAGCATGCTGGTTACTACTTTCTCAGTTTCCTGCTGAGCTTACTCGCCATACTCTTCGACCATGAAGATGGAAGTATTACGTTCCTCCGAAACGACGGTGAGCTATGTCAGGCTACACGGTGTCACAATAAAGACGACAGTACTTTTCATAGTCATTACCGTTAGAACCTAAATATTTTGTCTGATAGCGAACTGATTTACAAATGGTAACACAACTGGATTTCTGTCAAATGTTGACAAGAAAACGTAACAGTTACAGGTATACACATAATCCGAAGTGAGGTTTATTCTCTATGTCAGCAGCCGGATCGTCTTCACCGAATGGTGCATAAATATTTGAAGACTTGAAGCGATGCTGGAAATAGTGATATTCTCTTATTTACCATACATAATTTGGGGCAGTGTCATGTTCACATGGGCACGCGGTAGCGTAGTTGGTTGAAGCACTACGCTACAAGACGGAAGGTCCCGTGGTTGATTCCTGAAGAGGCCATTGGATTTTTCAATTAACCTAATCCTTCCAGGCGCACTATGACCCTGGGGTCGACTCAGCCTCTAACAGAAATGAGTACCAGAAATCTTCCTGGAGGTAAAGGGCAGCCGGTGCGTAAGGCTGACATCACCGCCATCTGTGAGCCGATTGTCTAGAAAATGTGAGAGTCTCGACGTCTCAAAACCCTATGGGCCTCCACGGCCTGTTACAAGGACGACTTTACCTTTTTTTACATTTTTAAAATGTTCATGAAAAAACAGTGGTTCCTACCGCTCCATGCGGAGTCAAGTCAGAAGGACATTTCATAGGAATCTACTAATGGAAGAAAATTTACGAGAAGTTAATTTTGAAGATAAAAACATTTTGATGACACGAATCTGCTAACAACAATAAACAAGGTCTACTAATTCATCTGTGACAAGGGGAGAGAACTGTGAGGACAGCAATAGAGTGGTCTAAAGCATGTCCACATTACTCGTGTTCGTGCTCGTGTGACTCGCTATGCTCGCGAGTAATGTGGACGATATGACAAGTCACGAGACAAGCAAATTTTAAATTTTTAATTTAAAAACTATAACCGATAAATTAAAATACGACTACAGCCTATACACACTACGAGTAAATATACGGATCCTCACCCGCCGAAGCCTGGCGAGCAAATAAAGTAGTGTGGACGAAGATTTACGAGCACAAATAGAAACCAGACGAGTCTCCCGACGAGCACAAGCCTGGCGAGCACGAGCACTAGCACGAGTAATGTGGACGCACCTTAACTACCCATTACTCAGCTCTCCTTTATTTAAACCGGAGATCGTTTTCGTGCTCACAAGAGGCCGCACTTGTCCCAGACCTCAGCCAGATGAAACCAGTTCACACCTTTCAAAACTCGTTTCTTCAAGATTCGTTTTAATATCATCCTTCTACCTGCGCCTACATCTTCCAAGTGGTCTTTTCCATTCAGATTTTCCGATCACAATTTTTTATGGATTTACCATCTTGGTACATTCTTCGTAAATTTCCATCTTTTCTTCCGTTTTGATGACATATTTGGTGAAGTTTACAAACTCAGAAGCTACTCATAATTACTGACCTCGTTTTATAATTGTTATGTAGTTTGAATATTATATCTCGCTGCATACTTCAAATATACGTAGCAAGTGACGCAAATCCGGAGAGTCGGGGTTCGAATCCTGGAGGTGATATTTTTAATTAACCGCCGCTCCCAACCGGTTTGGAGCCTACCCAGACTCCTGTCCCAAATTCACGGGAATTCTTTTCTCCGGCGTTAAAAGGGATCTTCCGTTAAGCTGAACACTCACTTTCATTTAATGCCCACGTGGAGCTGTACTTCCACTCTCCCATACATCTTCATTGATATAGTGCTTAATTAATTAACACAGGGACACTTTTACTTTTGTAACATGCAAACATTACAGACGTAACACTGTCTCGCTTTTGTAAATATTTCCAAATGACAAATATTATAAACTTATATTTTACACGAGTTCTCTTGTGATATATTGTCACGTGTAGACGTGTGACTATTAGACGAGTTTTGGTTTGGATGATTGGATTTATTGACTACTTATACACATCAGACTGAACTACAGGCAATTACAGCGCTATCGCCAATCACAATTTACAAATCACAGCACCCGCTAAGCCCTTTCCAGCCTGCTGTTTCTTCACCAGCCGTTTCTTGGCAACGGCTGCAGCAGTGGAGATCCGTCAGCTTCCCACGCTCACAGCCTTTCTTTACCGACTCTCGTACAGCACTTCCTGCCAGCTATTGCCACCGGACCTCTCAATCCAATTCTCTGCTGCCACCTCCAACTATGGGAAGTAGATGTATAGACCCACATATTCTTCACCTCGGAACTAGTTGGAGGTGAGTGGCCAGCTTCACGGCCCAGTCCCTTTACCCCCTTGGAAAGAACTTCCGGCGCCCATTAGATAGGAGACTTGGTGGGCCCCAGAACCGGTCCGAACGACGTGGAGAGGAGAAAAATCTCGCCCTTACCGAGACTCGAACTCCGGCCACTGAACCGTCAAACGCGTAGCCAGTCGCTATACCAACTGCTCTTTCCCGCTCCCATTGTGATTAATATATGTCAAATTTATTATACTATTGTGTTAATAAAAGTACTCATACACACACACACATATATATAT